AGGGACGTGATCACGTCGGCGTCGCTACCGGCGCTCATTTGTGGCACAAAGTGATAGGTCTTCTTCTCCCTGTAGGATACCGTTCCGTTGTCGTGGTATACCAGATGAGTCTTTGTCCATTTGGAACGGTAGACGTATGGGCCCATCTCCACGAGCACCGGTTTCGAGCCCAGCCTCTCGATGTCGGCGCCGTTGGTTACGTTGAAGAAGTAAAACTTTTGATATATGGGTAGTGGGATGTCCTTCCAGAGCTTATAGGCCTCTGTGTTTGGCTCTAACTGTAATTGCTGTGAGAATACAGAATTGGGAATTAGTTTCAGTATAAGTTTATATAAGTTAAAATTTTTACGGTATAAAATTTAATTATAACTTAAATAGTAGTAGTAGTAGTATTAATAGTATTAGTAGTAGTAGTACCGTACATTTAGTACATACTGCAATCACTATGTCATAGTGTATTTAGCGAGTATTTGAAATATTTTTAAAGTTAATGATAATTAATGTAAACTTTATAAGTGAATACATTGACTGCTGTTTATACAGAATCTAAGCACACAGTAAAATATCATAAATAAATTGTTTTAAATATATTGCACAATACAATACAATACAATAAAATCAAATAATAAACGTTTCCAATTGATTGTAACGATTAAATTACAATTAAACAATGCCTATTAATATTCAAAGCTAGAAATTGAAACAAATGTAACTAATAATAACCTAGATCTACCCAAAAATGACATTTTAAAAGTCAAATAAAATAAATTACAAAGTTATCTGTATCGGCAAACTGAAAAATGTAGTTAACTTTATGAAAAAGTCATAAAAACTTATTTTATCGGATATTTTTACAAATAGAAAAACTTTTGACACATATTTTCGCTTTTGTGTGCATTATATGTATTGTGATATAAGAGAAGACAATCTAATGGTTGAGTGGATATAACACATGAAAATTATTGTAACAATATTTGTTACAATAATAATAAGTTATAAGAGCATAAAAAATAATTAATTAACAGCGTGAATACTTTTTATACCTTATGAATGACTTTCATGACAAGTAATGGCACGGTTATGATACATATGATGCCCAGACATATGAATCCACAGCCGATGGATATGAGTATTAATTCCCGTCTATTGATGGCAATCCTCATCGTCTTAATCCTTATATAACGAGATAATTATATATATGTCGTCAACAAATAGCACACAATTGAATGTAAAGTCGAGTTAATAGTTTGATTGTATGATTAGCACAACTAGTGTCTGTGCCATGCATTTGCTATTTGATGCAAAGTGAACCGCAATACCATTATAGCTAAATGGTTGGGTATTTGGCGTACAATATATTCTGTACAGCGATTGCAATTGGAAATTATTGGTGAAGGGGAAAGGGATGGTGATGAGTACCTATTGGTTTAGCTGCGAGTGAACCGGTACACTGTCATCACAATCACAGTACGTTTTCGCTCTTCACTTGTTTTAATAGTAAAAATAATTATCACTTAAATCACAAAAATAAATTCAAAATTTCCATTGAATTGTACTTATCGTGTGTGTGAGGGACACACATATGGAAAGGGGAGGGAACGGGATAATTATTATTCAATTTATTATAATTAGAAGTTTATTATTATGTAATCAAAAAGGGGAAAAATTTCCTCCTAGATCAAATAT